TTTTTAATCATGAATATTGAATACCCATTCATCTACTACCTAGATTCAACAATTGTTAACATTTACCATATTGGCTATATTTATCTATATTTTTCCTGAACCATTTCAAAGTTGTAGACATATTTTATCCCTAAATACTTCAAATAAGGATCTTCTCCTGCATAACCACAATGCCATTTATTACACCTACAAAAATTGGCAATAAATCCATAGTATCATCTAAATATTCAGTCCATATTCAGATTTCTTCAACTGTTCCCAAACTTTTATTCTGTTTTTTTTTTCCAAACCAGGAGTTAATAAAGGTTCATACATTCAAAGTGGTTGTTATCTTTCTTTAGTCTATTTTTTTGAGACAGAATCTTTCTCCGTTGCCCTGGATAGAGTGCAGTGGCATCATTGTAGCTCACTGCAACCTCAAACTCCTGGGCTCAAACAATCCTCCTGCCTCAGTCTCCCGAGAAGCTGGAACTTCAGGTACACAACCCGAGGCCTGGCCAATTATTCTATTTTTAGAGACGGTCTCACTCTCATTTAGGTTGGTCTCAAATTCCTGACCTCAAATAATCCTCCTGCCTCAGCCTCCCAGAGTGCTAGGATTACAGGCATGAGCTACCATGCCTGGTGTCTAATCTCTTTTACTCTAGAATAGTACTTCCCCAACCCCTTCCTGCCCGCTTTCTTTTTTTTTTTTTATGACACTGGCTTTTTAAAAGACAAGAGTAGTCTGACTGTATTCTGATGGTGGGGCTTACATTATTCCTCCACATCTCCTGTATTTTCTGTAAACCAGAAGTTCACTTAGGATCAGTTTAAACATTTTTGGTAGGAATATCTTTTGAGTAATACCATATGCTTAATATTACATTACCCATAAAGTACAAAATGTCAGGTTATCCCATTATTAGGACATTTTGGTTAAGATAGTGACCACCAGACCTCACCATTGGAAAAGTATATTCTTTCCTTGGCATTTGGTAAGTAATCTGAAAGGGTAATACTTTGATACCATGTGAATATCTGTTCCCCATCAACCTTTCAATTATTTCATTTAGAGTAATCTATCATTCCTTCTACAATATATTATTGGCAGGTGTTTTTGGTAAAGAGCTTTCTCTCACCAACTGCAGATGATCTAAAAGGCAAGGTAAATGCACCATTCTTTCCCATAATAATTTATTTTTCAAAGTAAGGAATCAGCGTATTATTTGCCTCCAATGTTTGCAGATGAGTTTCTCCCCCTCACCTTTCTCTGTTTTAAGTGTCACTGTGAGCATGTGGAATCTTATTTATTCAAGGTGTTACAATCAATTTGGACACTTAAACTGTCCCAAAGGTGTCCAGCAGGAGCCCCTTGAACCTGGCTCCTGCATCCTTTTGACACATGTCCATTAGTCTTTAAGCTCTTCCTTGCTTTCTAGCACAAGATACTCCAGGCTCACATGGTACTTCCCCTGCTGCCTTCTACTTCTGACCCAACCAAGTCCCTCTGTGACCCTGGGCAGGTCTCCCATTTATTTGATTTACATTTCCTGTTAAAATAAAGAAAATCAGGTAAGTCTGTTCTGCCGCACACACTCGTGGGGATGATGAAAAAAATAATATACGTGGCTATGACACTGCAATATTATTTTGGGCTGAACTGACCACTACTACTTAGGAAAACCCCAGACCAGAAGCCGTAGCAAGAACTCCAGAGATCTTTCACCCAACTGTCTCCCCAAGAGATGCTTCCACTCAGGTATCTACCTTCCTTCTCACACAGGAGGAGACTGCTTTTCCTCCCTCCCACCCATCAGTCTATTCTCACCTCCTCCTTTAAACATTTTAGTCACATCCTCCCACCGGGGCGCCCCATCCTTGGCCTTCTTTGGATGGTGCAACTTCACCCAGGTGCTGGCCTCGGTGGGCAGCGTGATCAGGAGCTGCTGCGGCATGGTGACTTCCGCCTCCTTCCTGAGCAACACTCTTGTCTCAGCACAGGCCTGTCCACTTCTGACAAGGAAACTGCTGGCACCTCTGACAGGAGGCTTCACAGGTGTATCGGTTTCCTGTGATCACCGACTTCTGCTCCTCAGGGGCCTCGCTACCAGGAACACGCGAAGCATACAGCACCAACATCTGGGGTCTGGACTTGTTTCTGCCAATGGCTCTCAAGGCACGTCTCCCAGCTTGAGCTCCATCTGTCTCCTCAGCCGGCAGCTGGAGGTGCCAGGTATTTACTCTCAGTAGCCACCTCTACAGTACCCTGCAGATTCTGGGCAGAGAACTAAATTAGAGTCAGCAAAGGATCTAGAGGCTCGGTCACAGGGTCGGAACTCTAGAACTTGCACGAACCACTGTGAAATTTTTACAAAAGCTACGTGGAGACGGTGGATAGACACAGCCCACAAGGTCCAAAACACTGTGCAGGTGTCACGAAGTACAGAGATGAATGCAAGCCAATTCTTTGTTTGACGCAGGAACTATGTTTAAAGTAGTCTGGGATTTGGAATCCCGGCTCCTTCACTTGTCGGTTGTGGCAAATCACCTAACCGCTCGGATCCCGCGTCTTCCTCCCTCGGGGACAGGCCAACGCTTGTCCCCAGGCAGGACCCGCCCGGCCCAGCCTTCGCAGCCTTTGTCTGAGCCCGACTGCGGGGCTGTGGGGGGCGCGGCGCGCGACAGGGCGGCCACTGGCGACGCGGGGCCGAGCTCGCGCTGCGCCGTCGGCCCCCTCCCCAAACCCCGGAGAGCCCCCCGCTCACCCTCTCGGCGGCTGGACCGCACGCTCCCGCCTTCCCGCCGCGGCCGGCCGGTCCCGACCCCGCACAGCAACGCTCCCATGCAGGGCCGCGGCGGGCAGCCCGGCCCAGTGCGCCTGCGCGGCGGCGGCCCCGCGCATCCTTCCCAGCGGGCTCCCGCCCCGCGGGGTGCGCGCCCGGCCGGCCTCTGCCTCTGGGCACCCGGGGTCCCAGCGTCGGCCCGGCTCCTGATGCAGGCGCGGGTGTCCTTGTGCCCCAGACGCTGCAGCAGAGAGCCGAGCTTCCTCTGCCGAGAATAGGCACGTAAATGTTTCTGGGTAGGCATTTGAAACCCTTGACAAGAGGGAGACATTTGCATGACTCGTCTGTTGAAACAACACTAGCATAAGAGAATCCATGCCACTTTCCCTGAATAACATGGATGTGGAAAAAGACTGAAAACTGAATGGATTCCCGTGTTTTATTAAAATAATACCAGGATCAGGTAGCTTTTTGTTCTAGTAGTCAATAAAAATTTTTACGATAATTGCTCTCTTTACATTTCTGAAATACCAGAAAATACACAAAAGCAAGAAAATAATTGTTACCTATAATCTCACCAAGTGGAGGGAACTATTGCTAATGGTGCACAGCCTTTTCTACACACACACCCCCGTCGTTTATGTTTTTCATGCATTTTTATATATTTTCCACCAAAGTGATTATACTGCAATGCTGTTTTATTGCTGAATTTTCTCCCCTCAGAAAATGTAGGAGTACATCATTCCAAATACATTTCTACATCAATAGCTTACAAAAATAACAATTTAGGCCGGGCGCGGTGGCTCACGCCTGTAATCCTAGCTCTCTGGGAGTCCGAGGCGGGCGGATTGTTTGAGCTCAGGAGTTCGAGACCAGCCTGAGCAAGAGCGAGACCCTGTCTCTACTAAAAATAAAAAGAAATTAATCGGACAACTAAAAATATATAGAAAAAACTAGCCGGGCATGGTGGCACATGCCTGTAGTCCCAGCTACTCGGGAGGCTGAGGCAGGAGGATCGCTTGAGCCCAGGAGTTTGAGGTTGCTGTGAGCTAAGATGACGCCACGGCACTCTAGCTCAGGCAACACAGTGAGACTCTGTCTAAAAAAAAAAAAAAAAATTTAGAAAATGGAATAAAATTATAGTAGTTGCTAGCTGTTTCAAATGTGTTCCCCCAAAATTTATGTTGAAGCCCTAACCCCCAATGTTACTGTATTTGGAGACAGGGCCTTTATGTAAATAATTAATATTAAATAAGGTCATGAGGGTGGGCCCCTCATCTGATAGGATTAATGTCCTTACAGGAAGAGACATCAGGGCGCTCGCAATGCCCCTCCCTCTCCCTTACTCCCTCTTTCTCCTCCCTCCTTCTCTCCCTCTCCCTCTCCTCACTCACCGCAGGCACTGAGGAAAGGCCCTGTGAGAACTTAGGGAGCAGACTCTGTCTGCAAGAGTCCTGCAGAAACTAAACCTGCCAGACCCTGTTCTGGAACTTCTAGTCTCTACAACTGTGAGAAAATAAATTTCTATTGTTCAAGCTCCCCAGTCAATGGTATTTTTTTTTATAGCGGCACAAGCTGACGAAAACAGTTGGGTAATGATGGATTATTCAACTAATGTCATTAGGACAACCAGTTAGCCATTTGGGAAACTGTATCAATCTTCTTGGCTACCATAACAAAACACCATAGACTGGTGGATTAAACAACAGAAATTTATTTTCTCAGAGTTCTGGAGGCTGGGAAATACATGATCAAGGTGCAAGCAAGGTAGGTTTCATTCTCTTGGCTTGTGGGTAGCTGCCATCTCGCTGTATGCTCACATGACCTCTTCTCGTGTGTTTGAGGAAAGTGAGCTCTTTGGTGTCTCTTCTTTTAAGGACCCTAATCCTACAGATCAAGGCCCCACCCTTATGACCTCATTTAACCATATTACTTCTATAAAGGCTCTATGTCCAAATACAGTCATATTGGGAGTTAGGACTTCAACATATGAATTTGGGGTGGGGGGCACAAACTTTCGGTCCATAACAGGAACAAATCAAATTGGGTTACTACCCTATATGTTATACATCATATAGTTTCAGGAAAGTGAAGTTTTGTTTTAAAGTAAAAGCAAAGAAAGGTAATTCTATACATAGTTTTGGGATTGGAAACTATTCTATACATAGTTTTGTGATTAAGGCTCTTTTACTCAAGTAACTAGCTCACCAGAATTGGTTTCTAAGTTAAAATGATTATTAGTATTATTATTATTGGAAGGATTCTGGAGTATCTTCAGGGATCCAAGGAAAAACTGATCAGCTCAGTCTGTGGAAGGCTATAAATATACATACATACACACCATAGTTAAAAACATAAATATGTAACAATTAAAATTGTTTTTTAGAGTCATAGTCACCCTTGGTTCTAAACTTCTGCTTCTAGCAAATTCATTCTGTTTATTGATCATCTTGCTACCCCACTTAAATAATCTAGAATTTTGCTGGAGTTTTTCTTTCTCTTCAAAGAACAACCTTCACTAATACATGAGGGTAAACAGAAAGTTATTGCTCTTCTCCTGTCCTCTCTGGAACAATTCTCCAGGGTCTTGGGTCCCTTTGCAGCTACTAGTTTCACTAGGGATGGGTACTCATAGCTAATACCCCTTCTCCAACCTGGGAGACAATGGGGCAGAAGAAAGCCATATTCATCTTGCTATCCTTAAGCCTCTACAGAATTAATAAACCAGACTACAGAGTTTCGTGCTAATTTTTAAGTGAGAGTTAGGGAAATTCAGAATTAAAATTGTAGTTACTTTAGACTCTCTTAAAGAGAAAGTACTCAACGATGTGGAACTTCATACAGGCTGTGGTCACAACCCTCCACCTTCATCCCACAGGTGTCCTTTCCTTGGAGACTCTCAGTCTACAACTCCTTTCCCTGGAAAACTGCATCCACCCTGGTCTTGTCTTGTGGTCTTAAATTCTAGTTAAAGGGAGCACAGGGAACATATACATTTACCTCCCTTATAAAATCCCATCTTAACTGAGGAAAGAGGGATTTAAAACCAAAGGCATAAACCCACAGGGATAAATTGAATGGAAGAAGAGAAAAACAACAAAAAGGTTTTTGGAAACTGGAAAACACGTAGATGAGTGGTGACAGACTTATGAGTCCTGAAAAGGCTGAATCCTAAGCAAGCAGAGGGGAGGCCAGTAAGCGACCTAACTTTCCTTGCAGAATCCTGAGAAGCAGAGAAACTGGTTGCTTGGAGTTTCTCTGAAAATGGGCAGGAGTGAAAGTGATGCTAAAAATGCAATATGGGCGGCAAATCTGCTGAAGAAGCAGTTGGATTCCCAGCATCCCTACACTACTCTACAGGCAGGTGACTGTCCTTCTTTTACCTCTTCAGGAGACTGGAGGAATAGTTTCAGGAGAGGATAAAACAAAGGGGTCTCTGAACAGCAGGACACTAGGTACAGTTGGGGACAGGTTACTATGTGGAAAATGAAGGATGGGATAGGATGAGGATAAATGAAAGTTTACACGCTGAACTTGAGACTCCCGACCTTCTTCCCGGAATGATCCCATCCAAGTCTATACTCCCTGGGCAGCAAATTTGAAGAGATGTCTCCTGTGACTCCAGTAGACTTTTCTAAGGAAAGATCCAAGGATACTGACATTGGGGTTCTACAAGGACATGGCAGACCACCACCCGGTTCATGATGGGCAGCTCTGGTCCCAAGGCACCTAGAGGTTTATGATCTGGGGTTCAATCCCCACCGGGCCCAGGTGGGGGAACCAGTTACTTGCCAAAGAGGGCATGACTTCAAAAACCATATTTGCCTTCTTAGTGATTGTTTCACTGGGGCTTGTAAGAGTCTCCATACAGTCTCCAGATCTGCTACTGATCTACTGAACCACAAGGGCGAGGGGCAGAGCTGCCTTATAGCCCCAGCAGGAGGAGACTTCTGTCATTCTGGGCTCTCCTTGAAGTAGGCAGTTTACCCAAAAGATTACTTAAGTCAACACACCCAAATATGACACATTTGCTTCACGAATCCAGAGAGACTTACCACATACCGTACTTTTTTAGAAGCAAGGGGTGAAAAGTTTAGCAACTTGTTCCTCAATTTAAAGGGGTTATTCCAACATGTCTCAAATAATTCATTGATGTGACAGGACTCCTTTACATTATATTTAATATTATAGATCGCCCATTACTTCTTGCTTAAAACAACAATCTTTTATTATATCCCCCTAAGTTTCCATGAGTCAGGAATTAGGGCACAGTACAGACGGCTTATCTTTGCTTCGTGATGTCGGGGGCCTGGCTGGAAGACTCGAAGGCAAAGGGCTAGAATCATCTGAAGGCTTATTCATTACCATGTTGGCCTTGCTGGCCTGTTGCCAGAACACCTACACATGACCTCTCCATATAGTATGGACGTCCTCAAAATATGGTGGCTGAGTTCAAAGGGCAAGAGTCCAAGACAGAAAGAGGCAGG